ACATGGACCGGGCACTCCTTACCCAGGAAAAGCTGTCAGACAAAAATGCCAACCAAAATAGACCAGCCATCAGGATCCCGCCCAGGCCTTTCCTCTCCCAAAGCTCCACTGTTACCCTGACCCCCCCAAGCCTTTGCACTGCTTCTGTGGGGTGCAGAAATACGGTTCTGTAGTGTAGTTTAAATGAATTACTCAGAGTTCTGTATTAATATGCCTAGTAAGGAATCTGTCAGAAAAAAATTCTGAAAATTTTTTTGTCTGTATTGTTACAGACATACTTGCTGACAGGGATTTTGAAATAAACAACCAACATAATTGAAACTGGCATGTTTATATTGTGTTATTTTGACAAATAAAATATGCAGAAATTTGCAGAATTTTTAATTTTTGGGGCACAGAATCTTTCATTTTTGGTGCAGAATTCCCCCAGGAGTAATATAGAGTCTAATGGCCAGTGCCACCCTGCATTGTTGGGGATGGCTGAGCCCTTCGTTTTCTTGTGCTGTACATGCTGAAAACAAAGCTCAACGCTACCCAGGGCCCGGAGAACAGGCGATTCCAATAGGAAAAGGGATCACTGGCTCCTCTTAATAAAGGATGGGGGTTGAGGGCACTCATCACCTGACCCCAGCTAGGCCAGCATCACCAGGGGAAAGGACCCTGAGCCTCAAACAGCCAGACAGCTCCAAATTCCCCTCTAGCGTGATCTGAACTCTAACCCCATCCAGCTAGAAACCTACTCCTGATCCTAATTTTGGGGACTAACCGTGACACTGTGCCTACTTTTAATTCTCTCTATCCCTGAGCACAAACGTGGCCCTGCCCCTAAACCCGACCATGGCTATAGCCCTGACCCTGAGTTAAACTGAAGGCTGATCCCATGAAGCCCCTGATGACAGGATTGCTGTAGAGCATGTCTCCAGCCAGCCAGCTTCCCAGGGGGACAGGCCGTGAACAGGCTGGTAGAGACTTGTACTGCAAGGCCATTCCAACACTGAGGGCAGGGGAAATGCCTAGACATATTCCAGAGCCATTTCCCTGAATGGGGAATTGTTGAACCCACGCTGGGAGAGGAAGGGCTAGCATTCTCTGCAGCAAGGGCACCTCCCCCAGGAGGCGTTCGAAGGGGATGAGGCCCTCAGGAAGCCAATGGTGGTGTTGCATCCAGCAGCAGGGAACCAGTCCCGGGCACCAGGACCTTGTGGGGATGGAGCACTCCCACTCACCTGCTGCGGACGGACTATAAAAGTTGCCGGGACCCTCTGAAGGGAAATGTCTTGGCCAACAAGAGAAGCATCATGGGTTGGAGGAGTGGGCCAGCCAGGTCTCTATTCCCTGAGACCCAGACAACAGCAGTCCTCCCAGTCCCAGCACCTAACCCAGGACAAGAAGGGACTCCATGCTGAGGCAGGAGGGATCTGCCCTGCCCCCAATGTTCAAGAGGAAGAGAAAGATTTGGTATCTCAGTAAGTGAGCCTGAGCTGGCGGATGGTCTCATTGTCCCTGGTGCAGTGCCCGGATGGCCATGGGGCTACTCCGGGGTGGACTGGCCTCACACTACATAAGTACAGACTGCAGAGGGAAGAGTTGAAAAGCAGCCCCTCCTTCGTGAGCAACAGTGACTCCTCAGATCCCTCCAAAAGACTCACGTTCTACGCTACCCACCGGGACTGGGGCGATGACCAGGGTGGGTCCTGGGAGTGGCACCGCAGCTGACGCTATGTGCTGAAATTGGCTTAAAATGGGACATTAATCATTGGTCTAAAGATCTCAGCCATTCCCTTCTCTGGGCTTCCTAGCGCCCCCTGTCTGCATCTGGCTGTGTCCGGCTGTCTGCAGCTGTCTTGTCTAGACTAAGCAATTTGGGACGGGCCTGTCTGCTGTTTGTGTCTGGCTGACAATGCTGAGCACATTAAATACTAAGTCACAACAACAATGCATTCAGAAGTCAGGATTTGCCAATGGTTGCTATTTGCACAGATCGGAATCATAGAATCTCAGGGTTGGAAGGGACCTCAGGAGGTATCTAGTCCAACCCCCTGCTCAAAGCAGGACCAAGCCCCATACTTAGTCTAGGAAACAACTGTGGTAGCAGTTGGCAAATGCCGGGTTTTCAGGGCTGACCATGGTATCTGCCAGGGTCTGCATTCCCCCAGCACCATCTGATAGCTGCACCGTACAAACACCGCAGCACCCGCATTATTGGCCCAGCATGCTGCCGTGACAGCAGTTGCAAGGCCGCTCCATACACGACGTGCTGCCCTGTCCCTTCTGGCAGAATGGCCTTTAGTTTGGAATCTTGCCTAGGCCAGGAAAAAGGTCCTCGCTAACACGTGTTGATTCAGCGCTGCATTAGAGTGTGTTCAACACCTTTCGAAACAGCGTAGTTGGGCTGACACCTTTTTAAATTGCACTTCATTATACCTGTCAGTTAACACACTGTTCCTAGTCTAGACAAGGCCAAAGAGAGCAACCGAGGCACAAGAATCAGAGGGGTGGCCGTGTTAGGCAGAGAGTCCTGTTGCTTTTTACAGAGGCACAAGAGTGCGTGCCCCCCCAGAGTGTGCATCTCCCGTACAGCAGGGTGCTGGGCTCAGAGGACAGGGCAGCTGCACTCTACACAGTGATATGCCTAAGGATGTTTTACAGAAAAAACCCTCCCCTAGTCCATGTGTGCTCTGGACCATCCCTGGAGGGATGGGGGATTTATCAGGGTTAGAAGATCATCTAGTCCAAACCCCTGTGCAAAGCAGGGCCAAGCCCCAATTAAAATCAGCCAACAGATTTTTGCCCCATATCCCTAAATGCCCCCCGGATTGAACTCATAACCCTGGAGTTAGCAGGCCAGTGTGCAAACCACTGATCTATCCCTCCCCTGCACCCTGGAGAGCCACTCCCTCCCCATCAGCTGCCCTGGGACTCAGGAGAACCTTTGCAAGAACTTCCCAGCCTCTCCCAGAGAGCCCCCCCGCCCTGCACCCCAGCCCGGGCTCGCCACTGGGGGGATCGCCTCGAGAGCTTGGCTTCGTCTGTCCAGCGTCCATCCACTGCCTCCCTCTCCCAGCCAGCCCTTGCCCTGCTCCATGCCCCGGGGCACGGTCCCCCCGGGACAGGGAGCAGCGCAGCAACCTTTGCGGCCTCTGCCCCGCGCCGAGGTCTGTCTAAGCAGCACGAGCAGGGTGGAGAGGGAGCCCGGCGCGTGGATGGATGCACCGTATGGGGGGGGGGGGCTCTCTGAAACCCATAAATCTAATTGGCTTCTAGGCTGTGACGGGCAGTTTGCTCCCGCCCCCCATGCAGCTTGCCTGGGTGGACGCGAGCAAGAGTGTGGAAAGTGCAGCCGGCTCGGCTGGGCTCTGCCGAACCCCCCGGCCAGCGCCCGCAGGAGCCCGGCCGGGCGGGCTGCCCCGTCCCCGCCGCGCCGCGCCGCGCACCATGGCCCGGCCGCCCCCGCTCTCCCTGCTCCTCGCCATCGCCGCCTGTGCCGCGGCCGCCACCAGCGAAGGTAGGAGCCCGGGTGGCCCGGCGCGGGGCGGGCGTGTCTGCGGGGGGCAGGGGCCGGGCCGGGCTGGCACCGCTCGCTCCGCCGGGCGCATTTCTCCGGGCGCAGCGCCGGGCGCCCGCCTGCCCGAGTTCCGCGCTGGGCGGCCCAACTTCAGCGCAGGGCAAGAGACTTCGTGGCACATGCCAAGGGCCTGGCAGCCCGGGCCGGGCCCTGTGCGGGCAGCGCCGGGGGAGCCTGAACCGTGGCGTTCTCCGCTGCCCGCGCTACAGCCCGGACGGGAGCGGCCGGACCGTGGGGCTGGGGCGGTCCGTGCTGGGGGCGTTGGAGGGATGGAGCGGGCCGTGCAGACCGCACCCCCCGGGGGTACCCGGGAATGACAGAAACTTCCAACGTGGCCAGCTGTGAAGCCTCCAGGGACCCTGCAGCGCACTCCCTGCCCGGCTCCCCTGGGCGCTCCCTGCCTGGCTCCCCTGCCCGGCTCCCCTGGGCGCTGGCTGTCCGGTTCCCCTGCCCGGCTCCCCTGGGCGCTGGCTGTCCGGTTCCCCTGCCCGGCTCCCCTGGGCGCTGGCTCCCCTGGGCGCTGGCTGCCCAGTTCCCCTG